ATAATCCAAATTTTCGACTCACCACATCACAAAGTCCCGTCCAACATATAATGACACATCCATCACAAGATGATAATACTTATGAACAAATTATTGAACAGCCCCATACCACCGCTTTTCAATCTCAAAATAATAATTTTTTTAGCCCACGATGAGCCGCCAACTTGGATCACTCCATCGATCAAATTCCCATCCAACCAACCTTACCTCTTCAATCCCAATAATACCACTTTTTGCTTTTCCGCCACCCGATTTTCCATCTAGCAATGTAACATCAGGCATGAATTCCGACACTAACTCACAAATTTCAGTTTTATACTCCATTTCACAGCTAAATAACCCGAATATTGAAACCCCCGACGAATTTGCCGACTCAGAACCATCTCCATCCAATAATTTTCATAACCCTTCTCATTTTTCTCAACCTCCTTTTCAACCCATATTATCAAATAACCCTGACCCAATCACTCCTACACCCTCTTATGCTTCCCAAGTTACCCCAACCTACTCCTCATACCATTCTGACCAATCATCTCCAGACACCCCCCGAATCTCCCCAGAGCTAGACAATTTTATTACCCTCCAACAACAACCCTACCACCTTAACACCCCGACCATAAACCAAATCTCCTCCACTACAAATTCATCCAATCCCCCTACACCCTCTTCAAATTATACCGAATCATTAGCACCATCATCCACATCAACTGAATCCTCACTCAACACTAATAGAGCTTATCGCACTTTTAAAAGAAAGTTCCCCAACCATCCTTTCCCAGCAAAACCAGGAACAGCCCGAGAATACATCAACCACCCCCAACATACTAACACTAGAGAATTTTTAGCCATCACTTTACCCTCATTTCCACAATACACCTTAAACACCCCTCATGACGCTAACGAAACACGCAACTTTGTAGACGAATACGTTTTAATGCCCACTCTCTCTTGGACCTCATACTATCATTTCACTAACCCTCTTTGCTTACCTTTAACTAACACATCCATTGATATAGACCGAAACAAAGACATGCTATATCGACTAACTACACCACTCACCGCTAGACAATTTACTTACGTTGGATATAAAAAATCACTAAAAATACACACTGCACCTAGAGCTAACGAATACACACTAGAATACTATGATCACAACATCATCAGAGCTAACCAAGATCAATTCTTAGACGACGATCGCTTCGCTAACCCACAAATCACCGAGAAATTTTTCATCAAGACACCATATGTATTTACACTAAACATCTTCGACCGAAAGTTTGATCACATTATTTCAGAAGCACTAACAAGCACACAAGCGTACGAAAGTTTTAAAGAACGCTTCCAAATCTTTTCACTAACCTTTCATTTCCTTGCACCACACGAAAGAGATTTACACTGCTCACACGATATTATGTTGCGAACTAAACAAACACATACATACAGTTACTATCGTTTCATCCAAAATCACTTTGACCTCCACACACCCTCTAGACAACCACACCATCGCTTTCAATTCATCAATTCAAAATACACTTCACCGTATTTCCTAAATTTCACATATTGTATTAAAAATACTAACCTTCATGGTATTCTTCGTAATTATGACCCCATAACCCAAATGTATATTTTCTGCCCCATCACCAAGACCTTCAACGCAGAAGAATCCCGACCCTTCCTTATCCCGCACGAGTTTGTACAGCCTATAGAAATCCCCATTTTAGAATTCATCCACAACACTAAATTTAACCACAAGTTATATAACTTAATCCAAAACACACCTTATGAGTTTGCAGTAGGCACTGAAGAACTAACCACTATTAAGGCACTTCAATTGCTTTGGCCACTACTTCAAACTAAAAATATCATCCGCATCTTAGCTAAACTACTAACAACTTCAGAACTAATTCACGATATCTTCCCCCACGGTTTTTTCCCCGACGACTAACAGGTAAGTATGAACTAAATGAATATTACTAACTAATTAAAATATTGAAAAACTCACCATTCCTTATTCATGTTTTCTTTAGATTTTTAGCCTTCATCTTCAATCATCTGAAAAATTCACAAAAGAAAAATAAAAAATAGCAAACTTCTTCAAAACTATTTAAAACCCTATTTAACTTTTGCACCAACAATTAAATAAATATAATACCAATGCAGTAAATTAATTTATAAAATTTTCCCCTAAAAGCAGTAAATCTACATATGATGAAAATTTGTATCTTAAAATTCCCCCATTACTAGCAGTAAATTTCCAAATTCTATGCAGTAAATTAATAAAATGCAATTGCAGTACTAACCTTTTGATATTTTCATTCATTCGCACAGAAATTCTATCCACACTCGCACAGCTCGCCCACGAAGAATTGTTTAAAATAATGAATTTCAGTTTCAAGTTTTCACACTCAACAACTCTAACAAATAATAACAAGTTTCAAACTTTCCTTTAACCCGGTTGGAAAGGAATCATATACTAAACAAAACTAACCAACGCAGCTTACTAAATACCACAAATCATAAAATAACAGCATGACTAAGAAAAGGAAACCAACGGTACCCAAACCGGATTAACCCAGTTTAAAACTGGATAATTTATTCTTTTGAAGACTATTACAAAGTCTTAGAAAGAAATAATAAAACACAAAAAAGTCAAAAGACAAACCCATACCACAAACAATTTGCTTTTTGGAAAAAGTACATAACCAACAAAACATAAGTAAAACCACAACAAACCCAACATAAAATGTTGTCACATAACAGGACCCCTCATAAAAACCGCATGAAATCATACTCCCACACCTGGCCTAACCCACCAGGAAAGGACGTCCTGAGCATGCTCTATAGCCGGCCTAACCCACCGTGCTACATCCACGCTTTGTGACCACACCTTTATTTTTAATAAGAGCTACTCAAGGGTGAGTAACTCTTCAAAATAACCGAACTAAAACAAAAAGCTTTTGTGAAAACAACTAACTAAAATCATAATTAAAAAATATTAAATTAATAAAAGTTTTATAAAATGTAAAATCACATGATGCAATATATAGATCAGAATACAACACCAAGGACGAACATCAAAAGACAAGACGACCTCACTACACTCGAGAGAGAATGACCAACTATAATCGATATGCCGCTCACAATCACAACTCAAAGGATTTAGAGTACGACTTGACCTCGCAGAAAAGGACTTCATTGAACTAGACCAATGACCACCTCGATGTTCAAGTATACGTACAGATCCGAGTAACCAGGCATCCCCTCCACGCACAATCTCCACGCCATTCCCGAGCTAGATCAAACACAAAAGAAGTTCTCTCCGAAGAACAGAAAAACCTGACATAGCCAACCATTCTGAAACCAGAATTGATGCTGTTGCAGAGACTCAGTCGTTGTCACAAGAAGAACACAACGTCTTGTGTCCTCAATTCCAGATCCCTGGAACTTCCTTAACAAAAAGGAAACAAAAGAAAAATGATGTTCGCCAAATACCAACGTCCATCATCCATCCTTGAACTACAAAAGAACTGTTCTAAAAAACTCTGTAAAACCCGGATGGGTGGAACCTGATCTAAACTATATTTTATGATTGGATAAATTAAATGTTTTACCAATGTAAAGTATTTAATATTAACCAATCATGATCCATCTAACTAACAACCCACTTATTTGTAAGTGCTGAAGTTACTTGTAATTTCAGCACCAGAGAGATTTGAATTTAACTTAGAAATTAGTTGGACTCTCCCGAGCACTTCAGCAGCCGCAATAAACCAGTATACCCTAGATCTATTGAGCCTAGCAGAGACTAGTTAAACAACCTGAGACTAGATAGTATAAGAGTAAGATTAGGATCGGTATTAGACTAAGAAGTTGCACGAATCTATCCGGCCGAAAATAAGATAGCGTGACGAGCAGACGGTGTACCCTATCCGAAATTACTCTATGAGTTACATACCAGTCCTAACTCAATATCCTCCTTTAGTGAGTAGCATATATATCATGGTTGGCTCTGCTGCATGTTTTTTCGGCAACTTGGAAATTATAGGACTATTTTCTCATTGCTTGTTGTCATCAAATTGGGATGCATGTGCTGTTGAGTTTTCATGTGGCGAGTAGAAAATAGTTTTGTGTTTAACCACTGTTAGTTGGTTTTTATTACTGCTTGTAAATTTGTCGCAGATGTGAACATTGCCATCAAGCTGAGAGACACTGTTGTCCATATTACGTATGGTCTATTTTTTGCTGGCCAGTCAAAATAATCATCGAAGAGTTTTACCTTTTTCGATCTGAATAAATGTTTTTCTTTTTTGATTTTGAGATGTTATCGTAAAAATTTAAATTCAGTGATAGTATTACTAATTCATGCATTTGACTTTCCATGAAGATAGATAAATTTTGCCAGTTCCAACCAATTTCAATTGATCCTTTTCGAAACTATGTACACGTTATTATGATGTCATTGACTGACCAAAATCCGGTTCATTTAAAAAAAGGGACATTTTAACCCCCGAATAATGTTTTTTTTGTTATCCCCTCTCCTCGAAATTATGAAATTTGAATTTGAAATATTTTTTCATGTCAAATTTGAAAATAGCAGCAAGTTTCAATGCTAATGCATATGTTGACATGAGAAAAAAAAGAAAAAATCGGAAAAGCATCAATTCGCCAGAAATTATTTATACTCGTATTTTCGTCAATTTAGCATTTTTGAAATGAGGCAAAAGTTGGAAAAAAATATTTTTTAAAATTCAGTTATTTTCCATCCAATCCATCCAGCTCATCCAATTTTTTCCTGTCTTCATTTTTATCCTATGTTAGTTGTGATGCTGACCATTTTTTTAATGTTTTCTTTTTTTTCAAATTTCTTAGGGCTTGCGGTAGGTGGCTAATCAAGAAGAAGCTGAATAACTTGAGTTTCACGCCAGTTATTGAATAAATGCATGGTTTAAATCTGAAAATTTGTCTTTGTGATCACATCTCTTGAACTGTATGTTTTTCAGGAGACCGATTTCCACAGACGAGCTGAGATGACCTTGGACACTGCTGATGTTCTCAAGTGCAGGGCATTCATTGCACCGACGGTAAAGTCTCAAAAAGATTGTGGTCAAAAATTAGACATGACCTAAAGTAGACACGTCGTGAGCCAATCAGAATCGAGATAAGAGAACAAATGTACGAAATGTTTTCTTTTCTCGATTATGATTGGCTGACGACGTTTTTTTATGACATGTCTACTTTTTGCTACCTAATCGTCACAAAACTACTGTCACTGTTTTCAATATTTAATGGCTTTCGTCTTTCTAGAAAGGTCGCAAGATGAAAAAAGAGTTAAAGAGTTAATTTCTCAATGCTCAGATATTCAAGAGATTATTACGTGCTCTTTGAGAGAGCTTTGTAGCGTCATTCTTGCATGATAGCCCATTAAGCGTCTGATATAATTCAACGAAGATCTTCTGACGATTAAAGCGGCTAGAAAGTCTAAACAGTGGATTACTTTTGTGCTATTTTTGCCCGAACATGCGTCTTGTTTGCTCGAACATGCGTTCTAAATAACTTTGTTGTTGCTTAGGACATAGTTGATGGAAACCCGAAACTGAATCTGGCATTTGTAGCCAATCTGTTCAACAACTACCCAGCCCTGGATGGAGCCAGGGAACCCATCGAGATGGACTCAATAGTCCAGGAAACCAGAGAGGAGAAAAGTGAGATAGAGAACTGTTGAATACTTTCATTTCGTTGCGTTTCAATAAATGGAAAAATCATACTGCTAGCAAGATGTTTATTAAGAGTAATGAACGTATTGAAGACTTTTATATAGGTCTGGGCGATTTTTTAATATAAAAACGCACTTAAGAAACAGTTTTGAAATGCTCTTATAACTACAGATGTGCGCTCATACTGGGGCGGATCTAGGATTTTCTCGAGGGGATTTTTTCGATTTTTTTTAGGTCAATCAAATTGATTTTCGGGCGATCCCAGAGCACAGTAAAGACCCTATTTTGGCTCTTTTCCACTTTTCCCCCACCTTTAAGTTTCAATTTTGAAACACTACTGTAACTAGGGGCAAATTTAGGGGGGGGGGGGGCGAACGCCGTTTTTGGGTACTTTTTAGAAAGTTATCATAAAGAAAATAGCGTTTTTTTTTTCGACGCGCTCTCCATTAAAGTTAGTATATCGGCGACTATTGATCCAGTTTTCTCAAGTTAACTTAATTTTAACAAAAAAGTACGAATCATAAATTGTTCTTGAAATTCAAAGAGCGTTAAGGACATAATATTTTCTTTAAAATCGACAGTTGAAGCTTTTTTAAAAAACGAAGTCAGTTTTTTTGTTTCTTTGCGTTCATTTCTCTTTTCCAACTGTCAGTTGGCTATGTTTGTTTTGCATGACAGGGAATCCGTATTTTTAAATTCTTTATCATAGGCCCTTGACTTAAAAAATTCGTGTCGTCTTTTTCAGCCTTCCGTAACTGGATTAACAGTCTGGGCCTGAAGGCGTTCGGAGTGCCCCTCCATTTTGTCAATCATCTGTTCTATGACGTCACAGACGGACTTGTCATCCTAGCAGTAAGTTCCCAACAAATTCAATTTTTAAATCAGATCTTAATGGAAGGTAGACCCCGCGACGAGAAACTGAAAGGTAGGTAGCGTAGAATAAACCAGCCACCCTGTAAACCAGCCATTGAATTCAGAACTGTCGCCTTATAGTTAAGTAACAGTAATATAACATCTACAAAATCATCCAAATTTTAATTCAAATGGCGTGAGGTTTGACTGGTTTTGAGTTTATATACATACATGTGTAAAATACGTACATGTCGATCATGTTATCATAGTAACCTATCCCTTTTGTTGTTTAGATTGAAGACCAGATCGCCCCAGGCGTGGTCGAGTGGAAAAACATCAAGAAACCTCCGATCAAAATGGAGATATTCAAACGACAGAACTGTCAGTACGCAGTCGGATATGCCAAGGGTGACAGACTGAAATTGAAGACAGTGGGCATTGGCGGGGACAATCTGTTCGACCAGAGCGAAGAGGACAATACCCTGAAGTTGGGTTTGATTTGGCAGCTTATGAGGGCCTACACTGGGAAGATTCTGCTGTCATTGCAGCAGTCACAGGAGGATGGATCCGGAGATACACAGAAGGATATCGACAAGTCAATCATTGAGTTCGTGAATAATAAGGTGAGTAGATCTACAATTGGGGGGGGGGGGGGGGGGGGGGGGGGTTTTCAAAAAAAAATTCGAAAAACTTGTCGACCTGTTTTTTAGGTCGGCCGAACGATTTTTCTCAGCACTCCCAGAACACTATATAGACCTGATTTTGACCAAATTTTATGTGCCGCAGGCTAAATTTTGAAGAAACAGGCCAAAAAGGCGTTTTTAGGCTTTTTTTTGGAAAATTTCGACCAAAAAATTGCGTTTTGTCGGCGCGCGCTCCCCCTCAAAATTAGTATATTTTGGCGCCCAGGGCGCCTTTAGAAAAAATTTAGGGTCAGTCAGCCAAAATGGATTTCTCAAAATAGTACAAAGGGGAGACACTTTGGGTCGGAGCAGGGGGCGGATCTAGGATTTTCTCGAGGTGATTTTAAGGTCGAACAAAGTGAATTTCCAAGCTCCCCCAAAGATTTTTGAAAAACAGGCAAAAAAAGGCATTTTAGGCTCTTTTTGGAAAATGTTGACCAAAAAATCGCGTTTTTTGGCGCGCGCTCCACCCTCAAAATTTTGAAAAATTTTAGGGTCCGTCACCAAATATGGATATCTCAAAATAGTACTCACCCCCTTCCCCCCTCTAAATCCGCCCCTGGGTCAACGGGCGTCCCACCGCCCCCCTAAATCTGTTGAATAAATATATGCATGGAATAAGAGTCACGGATTTAAGAAAATTCTTTTGGAATTTTAGGTTTTGACCGTTACGCTGGAATATTGGTAGATAAGTTTGAGCTTATTTTGCTCGGTTAAAAGTTAAATTAACAGTGATAATTTGTTGTGCTTTGTGTCAGTTGTCGCAGAGTGGTAAGCAGAGCAGTGTGTCCTCCTTCAAGGACTCCTCCATCTCTACCTCCCTGCCCATCATTGACCTCATAGACGCCATCAAGCCCAGAGTGGTCGACTACACTCTTGTCAATCTAGACTGTGCTTCTGACTCCGCGGTGAGTACACAAATGAACTCGAAATTATGCACAGCTAGCGATGCTAAATTAATGTTTCGAGACCTGTTTTCGATTGAACTCGCGCGTCTAATTGTGGTTTAATTTATTACACTTGCCGACTTGCGAGACCAATGCTCCTTTTAATTTCTTAAGGTTCAGTTAGTTTCGTTGTTTTACTGAATTATAAGGTTCAGTTAGTTTCGCTGGAGAATTTTTTCGGCTATCTCTGCAGTTTTTATAAGTTTTTAAATAAAACAATTTTTTGAATTCTTTTTGCAATATTTTATTTTCTTTCATTCATTTCAATTGGTGCGAGTTTTTTTGCAAGTGGTGCGAAGCAATTTTTTGGTTATCTTGAGTTCATTGACACCTTATCAGCTCTCTATTGGCTATGTTTTGACTTATTTATACTTGGTGTTTCTGAGCTTGCATTATTAATTCAGATGTGTGTCAAAAATATTTACACATCCTTAAAAGTAACTCAAAATGTTTTCAAAAGTTAGTGTCTTCTAATTAAACAGCGCGGTAAATATTTTTGACACACATCTGAAGACACTAACTTTTGAAAACATCTCGAGTTTTTTTGCCTCTGTGTTACTTTTAAGGATGCAGTATACAACGCTGATTTGATTTATCCACACAAAACGAAAAAATTTAAAAGGGGATTTTTTTTTCAAGTTGGACTAAAATAAGAGCTTACACATTTTGTCGTGTTCTCGCAAGTGTGAAGCGCAATTTCGCCTCGGTGTTAACTTTGTTGAGCTACATAAGAGGCTCACTATATATAGTTTTGATGACAATGGAACCGACAGTTTTAGCGTAATTTTTGATTAAAAAAAAAAGCCAAAATTGATTATTTTTGTGGTAAAATTTTGGGCCCGAAGAACGGAAAATTGCACCATTTTGTATCTGGTAAAATTCTCAGCAAGTTTTGTCTTCTTCCTTTTTCGTTCAGCCTTAACCCAAATTAAGAAAAATGCTTTATAAATTTCCAGTTTTGTTTGTTATGTCCTTATAATTAAGAGTTATGGACGTAGTGTGTACTCTTTTATAAATCTCTTTTATAAGTGATTTTTTTTGTTTTCGAGAAAAAGTCAAAAAATTTGTTCACGCTCAGTTTTCATTTTTCGTGGTTTGACTTGTGAATTTTTTTCAAGTTCAGTGCATTTCCATTGTTAAGAAGAAGACAGATTCCACTATCAAACAGCAAAAGTGCAAAGATCACGAAAAACGTTATTGACTGCTAATTTCGACAATGGAAATTAATTATCAGATTTCCCGGCGAAATAAAGTTGATCCAGTTTAATCAACGTAGTGAAGACTCTTATATAGATCTTGCTGCTTTTTTTTCAGGAAAAAGTCTTAAAATATTGATGCACTTAGGTTTATATGCTTTTTTTGAGTTCAATTGAAATTTATCTGCTGAAAGTGACGTAAATAGCTCTCTCCAAATACAAACGTGCAAATGGCGCAAAAATTTGAGAACGATTTCTAGTTTCGAAAGTGGAATTCAATTTTTAGATTTACAGCGGAATAAAAACTTTACCTGTCGATCCAGTTTTCTCAAGTTGGGTTATTGTTATCGAAAAAGCGCCAAGCATAAATCGTTCTAGAAATTCAAAGAGCTTAACGGGCATCGATTTTTTCTTTGAAATTCGAAAGTTGCGATTTTTTCAACAAAGTCATTGTTTTTTTAATGTTTACTTGCATTCATTACTCTTTTCCAATCTTCGATTGGCTATGTTCTCAAATTGGGTTAGTTTTAACAAAAACGTGTATATCATAAATTGTTCTACAAGCTCAAAGAGCTTTAAGACCATATTTTTTTTTTCTTCAAAATTCAAAAGTTGAATGTTTTCGATTCGAAAAAACAAATCAGTTTTTTTTTGCATTTTCCTTGCGTTCATTACTCTACTCTTTTTCAATTGTCAGTTAGCTATGTTATAAATCAGCACTGTTTTTAAACACCAGCGTTAAACGACAGATTTTAGTAAATAGTATCTGATTTATTTCTTCATCTGTCGAGTTTTTTTTTCAGACTTTTCTCTAGACTTTCAAAGATTTCTGGCTATCTTTACTTCAATCATTTTAACTAATTAGTCTTCTTCATGGTTTTATATTTCACAGTATGAGGTTTGTTGACAAATGATAACTGTTTTTGCTGCAATCGTTGCCATGACATTGTTTAGCGGCTGCCTGTCTTTGCCAAACAGTTTTGTAGCTTAGTTATTTGCGTGCAAAATGTAGTTTTAGCTTATTTTGCTGATGCTTAATGGTCCCCTCAATATTCTTTCATTTCCTGGTAAATTGTTCCTTGCATCTAAATTTTGGCGTCTCTTTGATATAAATAAAGAAATTGCTCATTGGTTTGTTGTAAAAAACAAATCGAAGCCTAAATTGGGTGTCAAATTAACGTCTTCGGAAGATCATGTGCTTTAAGCCAAATATAATGCTAATTCCTAAGGAAATAAATGCATCCTTAGCTTGCATGTTTGCTAAATTTGAAAATAAAGTCACCTAACGTTGAATAAAACAATAAAATGAAAAGTAAATTAAGAAAGCAGAATTGATAATTAGCGTTTTAGCCGGAAAAGAAAATTTTACTGATATCTAGAAGCAATTAAAGTGTCATCAGTCAAATGGTCTGGTTAAATCAATCCCCAGGAGTTATTTCTTGATAGTTAAAAACGAATCTCTCTCTCCCCCTCTCAGAAAAATAATTGTAAAAAGTATGCATTTCATACAAATTCGAAAATGAATAAATGATTTTTACATTTTTATGCGGGATTGCATTTGTATGCTGTTGATTAAACAAATTAATATTTAAATTCAATATTTTTTCTAGTAATACGGTTAAATTTGAACGATTCTAGGCTATACTCAAATTTAGCTTGTGAAAAATCCATATTTTCTCCCTCCTAAATCGATTTATTTTTTTTGGGGGGGGGAGTTGTATGGTTGATTTGTTAATAAACAGTTTGCAGCTTTGAATGTTTTGTAATTGCGGCTTGTTCTTTTCTAGCATTGTTAAAATCCTTTTCCAACGCGTGTTCGTTTTTAGGCTAAGTTCAACAACGCGAAACTTGCTATCAATTGGGGCAGGAAAGTGGGAGCCAGAATCTACGCACTACCCGATGATATTGTGGAGGTCAAACCTAAAATGGTACTCACTGTCTTTGCATGTCTCATGACACGAGCATTGCAGAACAAGTAGTCTTTAAAAGACACAAGTTTCAGCAGAACTGAGAATTTGGAAAAGTGTAATTTAAGGCACCAATAATGCAAAAAATCCGGTCACGAACTCTTCCGGGCACTTTGGAAGTTAAACGCTCCCGCTCTTGAAAGTTATGGCATAACTCAAATGAAACGAAAATATTGTAAATCTAAATTGTACTGAATTTTGTAAAGTTGGCTGAAATATTTTGTAAATTGCGTATAAACGTATTGTCATGTCGAAAAATGGTTTTCGTCATATAACTGTGCTGCTAAATCATTCCCGAGAATCAATTATCATTCCTTTTTGAAATAATTTTGCAAATATTTTGTTTAAGCTTGCCTTGCCAATGGGTTTAAGTGTGCTGCTGCTGCGTTAAATTGACGCTCGTTCTCTGTATGTACAAAAAATAGCTGTGATTTAATTAGTAGCTTATCAAATTTAGTGCGCTTAGTTTCCTCCCTTAATGATGATGGTCCTGTTCTACCCTATGAGTGATTTTATTAAATCAGTGATGTAATTTTGCAACTAGACGTCTATTTTGTCTATTATCGGTCTCACCAATTCAAATTTGAATTTCCCGTATTTGATCACAAAAATTGCTTCAAGTGAGTTTTCTGACTATAAATACAAACTCAAAGTTCAAGTATTCATCATTGAATTTTTTCTCAAGTTTTGAAAAGGTTTCAAATTTTGAAAAGGGTACAAGTCTTGAAAAGGATTTTCGCTAAATTGGCATTTCAACGCTTTGAAGGAAATGAAAATGTTTTAAGTGAACAGTGACATCTTGTCAGGTTTAGAATAGAAAAAAAACTAAAAATCGTTCACCACATTTCTTGAACTGCTAGGTTGCGCCAGTCGATATTCAATACAGAATATTGAAATGATGAAAGATTTTTATAACATTATTTGTTTTTCGGATCAACTGGTGTTGCTTATTTTGCTGATGCTTAATGGTCCCTTCAGTGTTTTTTCATGTCCTGGTGAGCTGCTTTTTGCATCTAATTTTTGGCGCTTCTTTGATATAAATAAAGAAATTGCGCGCTTTAGCTTGTAAAAATTACATTGAAGCCTAAGTTGGGTTTCAAATAAATGTCTTCGGAAGACTTTAACTGAACAACTGCTCAGCTCGTGGTTGAGCAGTGACATCTTGTCAGGTTTAGCATTTAACAAGAACTAAAAATCGTTCATCACATTTCTTGAAATGCTAGCTTGCGCCAGCCAAGATTCAATACAATATTGAAATGATAAAAATTTGTTAATAATTTTTTCGGAGCAACTGGTGTCTGCTAAAAGTTTGTCGATTTTGTTTCTTTGTCGAAAGTTTTTCCGTTGCTAAAACAGGCATATTGAGCCAGCGGAAATTCAATACAGGATATTTGCATGATTACACAAGCAAAGCTTTTATAGTATGAACTCTCTTTTTTTTAACCTAAGTTGCAATTTTGTTGCGACAAAATGTTTTCATTTTGAAAGTGTTCATTTTGATCAATAATCAGCTATTAAGTACTGCCAATGCTAAGGATATTAACACAGACTGTTATATTACAAATAGCTCTTTAGCTTCAAGGTAACATGGAATTGTAGCGTAGAGGTAGAGAAGTAGACCCGCATCCAATTAAGAGGGTTCGAGCCTGGGCAGGGTCGGATGTTTAATGAATTTTTTTTGTATACTAGCTAAAATGCGTCCGTTCTATAAATTGAGGCTTGTTAGTTGGTAAATTCGTTTTTTTTCTTTCAAATTGACTGTTAATGCGTCAAAATTGACTTGCGTCTCTTGGCAATTATGTAGACTCTTTTTTTTAATGAAATCAGTCAATTATCTATTTGGTTCATTTTTTAACATTTTTGTTTCGTTTAGGTCCACGTTTTACCTTACTGGCAGAGTTTGCAAATAGCTAGCCATTTTTTCTTCTTTGTAGAATATCCATAAATATTTCTCTAGGGTAAGAAATCATGGTCTGAGCCAAGACTCCTCCACTTGGTCCTTGTGCCTCGGAAGCACACTGGAAGCACGGAGCACGGCAAAAGACAGCCGGCACTTCACCCAGCTCATAGTTTTACTATAGGGGTTCTCCCACTTCGTAGATAATGCTTCTCCTATTCTCCGAAGGAAATTTGCAAATTCTGGAGCGAGCAGATTCTTTAAAAGACACAAGTTTCAGCAGAACTGAGAATTTGGAAAAGTGTAATTTAAGGCACCAATAATGCAAAAAATCCGGTCACGAACTCTTCCGGGCACTTTGGAAGTTAAACGCTCCCGCTCTTGAAAGTTATGGCATAACTCAAATGAAACGAAAATATTGTAAATCTAAATTGTACTGAATTTTGTAAAGTTGGCTGAAATATTTTGTAAATTGCGTATAAACGTATTGTCATGTCGAAAAATGGTTTTCGTCATATAACTGTGCTGCTAAATCATTCCCGAGAATCAATTATCATTCCTTTTTGAAATAATTTTGCAAATATTTTGTTTAAGCTTGCCTTGCCAATGGGTTTAAGTGTGCTGCTGCTGCGTTAAATTGACGCTCGTTCTCTGTATGTACAAAAAATAGCTGTGATTTAATTAGTAGCTTATCAAATTTAGTGCGCTTAGTTTCCTCCCTTAATGATGATGGTCCTGTTCTACCCTATGAGTGATTTTATTAAATCAGTGATGTAATTTTGCAACTAGACGTCTATTTTGTCTATTATCGGTCTCACCAATTCAAATTTGAATTTCCCGTATTTGATCACAAAAATTGCTTCAAGTGAGTTTTCTGACTATAAATACAAACTCAAAGTTCAAGTATTCATCATTGAATTTTTTCTCAAGTTTTGAAAAGGTTTCAAAGTTTGAAAAGGGTACAAGTCTTGAAAAGGATTTTCGCTAAATTGGCATTTCAACGCTTTGAAGGAAATGAAAATGTTTTAAGTGAACAGTGACATCTTGTCAGGTTTAGAATAGAAAAAGAACTAAAAATTGTTCACCACATTTCTTGAACTGCTAGGTTGCGCCAGTCGATATTCAATACAGAATATTGAAATGATGAAAGATTTTTATAACATTATTTGTTTTTCGGATCAACTGGTGTTGCTTATTTTGCTGATGCTTAATGGTCCCTTCAGTGTTTTTTCATGTCCTGGTGAGCTGCTTTTTGCATCTAATTTTTGGCGCTTCTTTGATATAAATAAAGAAATTGCGCGCTTTAGCTTGTAAAAATTACATTGAAGCCTAAGTTGGGTTTCAAATAAATGTCTTCGGAAGACTTTAACTGAACAACTGCTCAGCTCGTGGTTGAGCAGTGACATCTTGTCAGGTTTAGCATTTAACAAGAACTAAAAATCGTTCATCACATTTCTTGAAATGCTAGCTTGCGCCAGCCAAGATTCAATACAATATTGAAATGATAAAAATTTGTTAATAATTTTTTCGGAGCAACTGGTGTCTGCTAAAAGTTTGTCGATTTTGTTTCTTTGTCGAAAGTTTTTCCGTTGCTAAAACAGGCATATTGAGCCAGCGGAAATTCAATACAGGATATTTGCATGATTACACAAGCAAAGCTTTTATAGTATGAACTCTCTTTTTTTTAACCTAAGTTGCAATTTTGTTGCGACAAAATGTTTTCATTTTGAAAGTGTTCATTTTGATCAATAATCAGCTATTAAGTACTGCCAATGCTAAGGATATTAACACAGACTGTTATATTACAAATAGCTCTTTAGCTTCAAGGTAACATGGAATTGTAGCGTAGAGGTAGAGAAGTAGACCCGCATCCAATTAAGAGGGTTCGAGCCTGGGCAGGGTCGGATGTTTAATGAATTTTTTTTGTATACTAGCTAAAATGCGTCCGTTCTATAAATTGAGGCTTGTTAGTTGGTAAATTTGTTTTTTTTCTTTCAAATTGACTGTTAATGCGTCAAAATTGACTTGCGTCTCTTGGCAATTATGTAGACTCTTTTTTTAAATGAAATCAGTCAATTATCTATTTGGTTCATTTTTTAACATTTTTGTTTCGTTTAGGTCCACGTTTTACCTTACTGGCAGAGTTTGCAAATAGCTAGCCATTTTTTCTTCTTTGTAGAATATCCATAAATATTTCTCTAGGGTAAGAAATCATGGTCTGAGCCAAGACTCCTCCACTTGGTCCTTGTGCCTCGGAAGCACACTGGAAGCACGGAGCACGGCAAAAGACAGCCGGCACTTCACCCAGCTCATAGTTTTACTATAGGGGTTCTTCCACTTCGTAGATAATGCTTCTCCTATTCTCCGAAGGAAATTTGCAAATTCTGGAGCGAGCAGATTCTTTAAAAGACACAAGTTTCAGCAGAACTGAGATTTTGGAAAAGTGTAATTTAAGGCACCAATAATGCAAAAAATCCGGTCACGAACTCTTCCGGGCACTTTGGAAGTTAAACGCTCCCGCTCTTGAAAGTTATGGCATAACTCAAATGAAACGAAAATATTGTAAATCTAAATTGTACTGAATTTTGTAAAGTTGACTGAAATATTTTGTAAATTGCGTATAAACGTATTGTCATGTCGAAAAATGGTTTTCGTCATATAACTGTGCTGCTAAATCATTCCCGAGAATCAATTATCATTCCTTTTTGAAATAATTTTGCAAATATTTTGTTTAAGCTTGCCTTGCCAATGGGTTTAAGTGTGCTGCTGCTGCGTTAAATTGACGCTCGTTCTCTGTATGTACAAAAAATAGCTGTGATTTAATTAGTAGCTTATCAAATTTAGTGCGCTTAGTTTCCTCCCTTAATGATGATGGTCCTGTTCTACCCTATGAGTGATTTTATTAAATCAGTGATGTAATTTTGCAACTAGACGTCTATTTTGTCTATTATCGGTCTCACCAATTCAAATTTGAATTTCCCGTATTTGATCACAAAAATTGCTTCAAGTGAGTTTTCTGACTATAAATACAAACTCAAAGTTCAAGTATTCATCATTGAATTTTTTCTCAAGTTTTGAAAAGGTTTCAAATTTTGAAAAGGGTACAAGTCTTGAAAAGGATTTTCGCTAAATTGGCATTTCAACGCTTTGAAGGAAATGAAAATGTTTTAAGTGAACAGTGACATCTTGTCAGGTTTAGAATAGAAAAAGAACTAAAAATCGTTCACCACATTTCTTGAACTGCTAGGTTGCGCCAGTCGATATTCAATACAGAATATTGAAATGATGAAAGATTTTTATAACATTAATTATTTTTTTTTCGGATCAACTGGTGTTGCTTATTTTGCTGATGCTTAATGGTCCCTTCAGTGTTTTTTCATGTCCTGGTGAGCTGCTTTTTGCATCTAATTTTTGGCGCTTCTTTGATATAAATAAAGAAATTGCGCGCTTTAGCTTGTAAAAATTACATTGAAGCCTAAGTTGGGTTTCAAATAAATGTCTTCGGAAGACTTTAACTGAACAACTGCTCAGCTCGTGGTTGAGCAGTGACATCTTGTCAGGTTTAGCATTTAACAAGAACTAAAAATCGTTTATCACATTTCTTGAAATGCTAGCTTGCGCCAGCCAAGATTCAATACAATATTGAAATGATAAAAATTTGTTAATAATATTTTCGGAGCAACTGGTGTCTGCTAAAAGTTTGTCGATTTTGTTTCTTTGTCGAAAGTTTTTCCGTTGCTAAACCAGGCATATTGAGCCAGCGGAAATTCAATACA